AGCGCTGTGAAGGGTCTTCAGGTCGTCTCTGATCTGGCTCAGGGCGGTTTGGATCTTGCTGGGCTGATCCAGAACCTCCACGCTGCAGGTAAACGGCTCGTAGCGAACTGCAAAGGGACGCTTGATGGTGGCAGAGTATCTCCTGTTGAAGTGAATGAATACATAGGAAAGAGTTTTAGGAGCAGACATACAGATGTGTTACAAATATTGTGAAAAAGAAACTTTAAGATCTCTATGAAGTCATTAAATACAGATTGTGGAATTTTCAACCAATACTAGTCTTATGGTCACTACTTAATAAGTATGTGTACCTCATTTTGGTCTTAGCATCCTCAAAGCTCTCGGATACGAAGTAAACAGGCTGGTATGTTTGGTCCTGGTACGGCTGAACTGCTGTCTCCTCCGGAACAAACGGCTTGTACTCCGGCTCATTCGACAAAGCGTACTGAAGAGACAGGTCAAAGGTCAAGCAGTGTAAGTACACAACGCAGCAAGAATATGAAGCAAAATGTGTGTGTGTGAACAGAAGAGACTGCAGATGGAAATGAGCCTGTTGCTAAATCTGGCATAATTTAGCTCTTTTCTTTGAGTGAATAATACAAATGTTATGCATAGACGTTGTTTAATGAAGACAAACTTTTATAAAAACACACTCACAACGAGCTCTCCGTAAGACGACAGGAGTCCGGCGCCGTAAGCTTTCACTGCTCCGTTCTGCTTGCAGAGGCCAAACTCCACAGTGAACCAATATAACTGAAAAGGACAAGCACATAAAAAAAAGTCAGTCGAATATATATTCTGAATGAGAGCATGATTAAACATAATGTGCAGTCCTTTGTTTAAGCCACCAGATGGCAGTGAAGACCTCTTTAATGCACTGAGTTAAGAGAGCCCATGGATCACTCTGATAAAAAAAGCTTCTCTATTAACATTTGACATTCATTGAATCAAAATCGGATTGCCAAATACGTTTGTACATACAAGTATTAGCCTTGGTATTGGGGGGCATAAAGAAATACAAGTACTGCACGTCAAGAACTAGGTATATGAAGCAAAATGTACAATAAAACATTTAAAAAAATTATAAAATATGTGAAATATACCTGTTAGAAATAGGAACTGAAAATAGTTACGCAGTATAACAGGAAAAAATAAGCAATACTTCACAGTTTAAAGGTAATCCAAATAATATGAAGTTAAGAGGTGCATTATTATGTAATGTTAAATTCTATAGTTTCATTTCTTTTGTGATGTTTTCACCTCCCATACAAAGAAATTATCTCTGAATATTAAAAAAAATGCACTTTTAAATTGTCTAATTTCAGGTTTAAAACATTAATAAAAACTTACCGTTGACAGTTTCTCAATGTCTTCATCTGAAGCTCCAAGCGAGGCAAGTCCAATCTCCTAAAAGAGTTAAAATGAATTAGTATTAAAGGTAATTCAACTACATTACACTCTTGTTATGTCAAATCAAAGCGCAGCACTGTTACCTGAGAAAACTGGGCGAATTCTTTATCCGCCAGCATGGGAATATGGCCGAGCAGTTCGTGGCAGCAGTCTCTGTCGGAGCAGGAACAGAGTCAATGACAGGACAAGCAGCTGAATACATTAATGAATAAAATAGGTCCCAGAAAGCTTCCACTCACGGCTCAGGGGAGTGCATGGGTGCTGAGGCGTGGCGGATGTACTGAGTGCACTGAAACACTCTGAAGGCAAGACTGGAGAGGAAGTCTCTGGCTGACAGCAGGCCGGCCACCGGGCGCAGCTGGAAGCCAGTCTTCTCTGAAACAAGAGAAACACTTCAAAACACACTGCAAAGCAAACTGGAGGCATAGGAATATGGAGCAATGAAGATGACGTTTAAGTAATAACTTCTATTTATCGCTGTTCAGAGCTCATTGCTATTCTGACATATTTACCTTTAAACCCCACATCGATCATGTCATGAAAAATGTAAGTTGGTGTTGGTGTGCCATACTTTGTTTGACATTTAATGTTATGAAGATACTTGTTTCACATCCTTAGTTTTACCTTTGCAAAGACCAAAATATTCTAATTTTGCAAGATATTTTGTAAAGCATTAATGTTAATTTATTCTAGTTTTTTTTATTTGTATTTTCTTTTGAAGGCCAAATGTTATCATAATTCTTGTTTGCAAAAGCTTTTCTAGAACTTTATTTATTCTACTTTTTCGAGTTGTATTATCTTTTGAAGACCAAAAGCTCTCATTAGTCAGAGTGTTTGTCACCTTTCAGGAAGGCGGATATATCTCTGAGCTGAGGGATGCGCTCCTCTCCGTAGCCGCACTCTGTCTCCAGCTGCTGCAGCCCGTCCAGGAACTGCCTGCAGGCCAGACTGGGGTAGATGCTCCTCAGCTGCAGGTACACCTCCCTCCTTGAAACACAGCAACACATCATTGCACTCTAACCATCCTCCAACACGCATCTGCATTCATACTGACTGCTCTGAAGAAACTGAAACATTGACTAGTTAAATGTACTATATCAACATATTTCATATAACTATGTTAGGTCAGTTGAAAGCAATAATATTAGGTTTAAATACAAATATAGGGTCAACTTAATATTATTGCTTTCAACCAACCTAATACAGTTATGTGACATAATACAAGATAGTTTTTTCAGTGTGTTTGGCCAATTCTTACCATGTGGACACTTCTTCTGCTGTGTACTGCACAGTGGGCAGCTGGTCCCCCCTGTGATAAAGACAATCATTTAATAAGAGAATATTTAAATGGTACTCAGTTTTTAAGGAACATGATGGATACATTTCTGACTCACTGTTTGTATCTGAAGGCAAGCTCAGAGATGAATGCCCGTCGTTTTCTGTATTCTGGATCGCTGTATCCCTGCAAAAAAGGGTTAATAAGTATCATAACTAGGTTGTATTTTTTTCTGATAAATATGATTTAAGAGTGTGACATTTTGCACCATATGTAAACACTCACTGGATGATCCTGGTCCATGTCTGGATCAAATTTGATTATTAGCATGTTGCATCTGTCGAGGTCTTTTATCTGTCGGGGAAACCAGGGAACTAAAGAGAGGGAAAATAATTAATTAGTGCTTTTGTAATTGGTCTTTTTATCATGTAACATTAAAAAAAATACATTAATTAAATAAGACTTGTAAAAGTGCATGTGATGCCCTAAGCGTATCTCACTAGACATTTGAATAGGTCTAATGAAATGCATAAAGTGCACAGTAATAATAATATCTTGCACCTTTTTCCTCCGGTATGGAGCGAACGTCGTCCACCACTCTCTTCAGTGAGTTGATGAACACGTCCAGGTCGGAGCTGTGAACTTCACACTTCATGAAGAACTCCAGGTCTGTCGTGCTGTTCTTTGACTTCCTTCCCGGCCGGCTCTCAATGTGGAGAAGTTTAGCTTCAAACGTCTGTGAAAGATACAAAAAAAGAGCATAATATGGTAAAAAATTCATTTTAATCAATGATTTGACAATGAGAAGAAGGCTCTTCATCCCATAATGCACATGTAGTTTACTTGTTGACATTATGTTGAAGAAATGCATGTTTTTGCATTATTGTTTTAAACTAGTACGTCTATACTCTACTTAAGTTCTTCATGTTTCATCTTTTACATTTGTATTGACATCTTCAGCTTTAGATATCATAAAAGTACATTCAATACCTTTTGTAATGGAAATATTTGTTGGATGCTAATTATTATGCCTGTTACCAAATAAGCTATTATTGGAACAAGAACAATTAAGCCAAATACAGTAAAAGATCATTCCAGCTTCTGTAATTGTGAGAATTTGTTGATTTTCTTTTACTTAAATGACTTCGTTTTTTAGAGTGGAGACATGTTATTGACCAAAAATATTTCAGGACAATAACAACATATAAATCAGTAGTTGCAGCCCTACACCTGTACCAGCTACAACTGAAAAACACTTCCTTAATCAGTTATAGTTATCAAACATTATTTTTGAAACCTTAAGTCCATCTTTCTACTTGTTAAACCTGTGTATTAAGCGTGTAGCCTCTTGTAACATTTTCACAGTTTCATGTCATTAGTTTTACACATTTGAAGATCTCAGAATTTGGGACTTACCTCGAATATTTTACCGGTTTTGAAGAATCCTGCGTTTTTCTCATTGCTGAGAGTGAAGAGGAGGTTGAGAGGGACCCTGCCGTCCTTCTCCTCGAACACGAAGCACATGTCTCCGTACCGGGAGGGCCCCGGAGGCCCCGGAGGCCCAGGGGAGCCCACGGAGCCTCGCTCTCTGCGGGCATCCTCGATCAGACTCTGCCTCCTCCCGCTGAAGGGCGCCGGCTGCACCCCGCCCTCCGTCTTCATCTGCCCGCTGCAGCTGGAGCCTCACCGCGGTGTGTGCGCCTCCATGCCCCGCGGACACTTTAAATACCCGGATGTGTGAGGGGGTGATATGGAGATGAGGTGCGCGAGGGCGGCACATTTGGCTTTTGAGGCCTGGTTTGCGTCATGATTACATCTCTTTATAGGACTAAAATAGTGCTATTGGGGGAGGAAATGGACACCAACACAGGTGCATTCGAGCAAAATAGGTCATACATTAATAAAACTAGGTTATTAGAAGTTCATATATAGTTTTGCATATTAGGGACTTTATACTACTCTCTTCTTTTTTTTTTATCAAAACCTGTATTGTTCAATTATATGGGATAGTATAAAATATACAAGTATGTATGGTACATAGTGAATGGAATATGGTATAAGATACAATATAAGATACATGACAAATAAAAGGTCTTAGTTCAATCACCAGAGTGAAACAGTGGTTAAATATATTGAAAAGAGGCCCCATTTATACAATATTCCTAATTTAAAAATACAAAATCTTTTAACAAAATGACCAACAGCAAAAATGTGCCAATGTTGCTTATAATAAGGTTAAATACTTTCAATTTTTAGTAGTCTATAACAAACTATGCATTTATATACAGTAACGTCTCCTTTGAACACCTATATATTTTTTATAAGAGATAGAGAGAAGAAAAACATTTATTTATTTCAATATATCATTTCATGTATACACAAAACATTTAATTTACCAAAGCAAAATGTAACTTGTAACAAAATGCATTGGTTCCTTTGGATTTGAAGTGCATAGAAATAAATCTGATTATTTCAGCTGTATTCACATAATATTAGAAATAAAATTAGCTGATAAGAGATTTTGATTAACAAACCCTCTTATTTTAAAAAACACGTCTCTTCTCAACACTTATACTGTAGGCTAGTAATATTAACTGTAACATTTCTAGCTGCACATTCATTATCATCCTACTCAAGACGCAGGCTACACTATTCACCTAACTAAAATACTAATTGGATTACATTAATATTGCCATTATTTCACCTGCATATTTGTTTTAATAGAAAGAAAGTAAAGTAGCAGGCAAGCTAATCAGGACTCCAAGAAGCCCGATAATAAACCGTTTGATTGAAGAAATGTAGAGATTCTCAGCATGCTTCGGCTCAGATTACTTCAGTTTTGCAGTTTCCGCAGGGCTTCGCACAGTTTCCCCATTTCACCTGAAATATAAAAATAAAATTGAGTTACCTTAAATGTCATTAATTGCTCCATATAGGTCATCAAAAATAGTTATTTTCAAATGATTAAACAAAGAAAAGCACTGTTATGTTATCCATCTGGACCATACCATCCTTTTTACTTTAAAATCAGATTTTCAAAACAGAAGTTGAATTTAATGGGCACTTCTTTTCTTTAAACTGGCAGTGTTACAGTAATCTTTCTCAATTTATCTCAACTAGTCTATAGTGATTAACATCTGGAAGTGGACATCAGATGTTTATGACCTGCTTTATAATATGATATATTTCAGTTTAAATGAAAATGAGTAACATACTGCCGATGCTGTCAGCCAGGTTCCTGAGCTGCTGGGTGTTGTCCAGCACTTCGATGCTCTGAGTGTACGGATTGTAGCGCACAGTGAAAGGCCTCGGGATGGTGTTTGCAAATTTCCTGCAGGCAGACAGTCATTAATGTTACACGTTTTGTTGAAACCTAAACTTCCAATTATATGCAGGAGTAAAATAACGACATTTTCTTACCTCACTTTCTCTTTGGCATCCTCAAAGCTCTCGGCGACAAAGTACACAGGCTGGTACTCGGTGATGGGGTATTTCTGAAGGCTGGTCTTGGCGGGGTCAAAGGGCAGGACTTTGGGCTTGTCTGTCAAGCAGTACTGAAAAATACCAGCAAAAAAAGGTTATATATTTCCTTTAAATGTCTCTAAATGAGTGTCTCTGTCCCCATCAATACTGCAGGGAACAGGAAGTGCGGCGTGATTCAGGGCTGGATGTGACAGAGTGCACATCCTCTGTTACAGCCGCTGATGTAACGGTGACCTCGATAGCGACATGTAAGTCTTCTCTCTGTTCCTCTCTGCCCCCACTCACCTACTGAACTAGTTTACATGCACCCTGCTGAACAGTGAGCCCCCTCCACCAGCGACACACAAAACCAGAATCAGAGTGGACCACTGACCCACTTTGTTGTGCAACACCCTGCATGTATTATCAGGGGTTTAAGGTATATGTAACTTGTCTGCTAACAAGGACAAGACCTTTGATATATATTTTATATATTTGGTACTAACTTTATCCAAAATACTGTATTTCTGTTTGTTTAATTCTCCTATAATGGCAACATATCCCATTTGAGCATGCGTCAAACTGTCAAAAATATACTTCAAGCCAAATTTTCAAGTTAAACTTTTAAAATGTTGTTTGTTTTTAACAAGGATTTTAGTCATTGGACGTCAGGAACTTAAATTATCAGAAAAACATGCTGAGCAAACACTGATATTTTTAACGTGAAACTTCTTTCTATTGTGCCTTTAAACTATATAATCTAGCTGCTGCGGGGGCCATGTTTTGTCTAACCTTGATCCTAACCCCCCCATGTCTTCTTACCTGCAGCTCTCCAAATGATGAAAGCAAGCCAGCTCCGAAAGCTTTGGTCTCTGAGCCTTGCTTACACAGGCCAAACTCCACGGTGAACCAGTACACCTGAGGACACAAAACACATAATTCAGTCACAAATCCGTGGTAGAAATTCACAAAATAAGGAAGGTAACTGTAATTAAAAGTAACTACATGCTAGATACCACTAAAGGCACTTTTTTTTGTAATTTGCAGAACTGGCCCCATAAGGTCTTTTTAAATGCAAAATGTACTACAGATACCTCTCAACACTCTCACATCAATGTATTTAAAGTTATGCATAATACACACATGTACCATTTAGTATTTTATGTTGCTGATAAAGTCAATCTGTTGGCATAGGGACAGAGGCTGAAAACCAGACCTAATGTTTTTGTTTCTGAGGGTCTTCGACATGAAAACAGTTTTGTTAGACTCCGGATACAGCCTACCAAAATGATTTAACATTTTGTTTCTCATGAACACAATACTCACAGTAGCAAGTTTCTCAATGAACTCAT